ATGAAGCTATATTGGCTCACCTTTAAATCTTTTTTTTTTTTTTTTAAAAAAAAAAAAAAAAGCTTGCTTGAGTGTTTTTATTTTTTTCTCTAAAAGTACTTCATATTTGCCTTCACTGAATCTGCAAATAATTTTAAAGAAGTTCTAGGAAGTTCGGGAGGTTATAGTAGGAATGGTACCTTCTTCCTTTCTGAAGTTTATGTATGGTGATGTGTATCCAGAGGAAAGTACCAAAGGAACCTCTTTCTCCAGGTTTCAGATTTCTTACAACGACAACGTACAGTAACTAACCATCTTTAAAAAATCAGCTTTTGTTTGTTCTTATAACCTTTATACAGCAATTCTGGGATAGAAAACTAATTTAGCAGAGTTATCCATCACTGATCTCCATTACTATTTTATTGTATCTTTTATTCTTACATTTTGTAGTCTAAATTACATATTATCCACTATCCATATTTAATAATAACTAAATTATTCAGAATCTCAAGTGCTTTGAACAATCAGAAACTGACCATAACGTTCAAATGAAAATACTAGGGTTACATCTTCTATGCTTTTCCTTCAAAGAGAACTATTTTTTAGCAGGTATGTTTCAAAATGTATGCCATAAGATTCATATCCGATCCCTATACAGTCTAAAGCACATTAATATAGTACAGACTGTGCAATTTTTTAACTCAGAAAAAAAAAGTGGTAATATTACTTCATGTCATGACACTCTTGTTAACAATTTATGCTAGATATTTGGAGTGAGGGTAAGAAATGGTTATCTCTGTCTGGCTTGCCAAAGGGGGGGAGGGGGGGGAGGGGGGGGAAGCAAAAAAAAAGCAGTGACCATTTAGTAAACTTGCAGCAACTAATTGTGTGAAGATTTTACACCTTAGTCTACATGCTTGCTTTTTATCTTACCTGTATCACTGAAGTCATTATCTGACATTCAGACTGCTTACTTTTGAAGATGAATATTCCCCAGTGAATAAATTAAGTGCTAACATTATTTGCTCCTGTGAACTAAAGTTAATGCAAAGAATGTAACTTTGTGTTACTTCACATGCTGCATTTGTAGTTACATTAATCCCACTCAGTGTTGTAGTACAGTCTTAATAGCATTTTTCCAAAAATTTGAGTACTTGAGTTTAGGATGACAGCAAACATATTCATATAATTCATATAATGAGTTAACAACATTAGGAGGGAAAGTTTCTTTCAACTACCTGAGAAATTCAGTCATAGAATCACGGAGGCATGGAATGGCTAGTTTGAAAGAACCCCCTAGTTCCAACCTCCTTGCCATAAGCAGGGACACCTTTCACTAGATCAGGTTGTTCAAGGCCACTTATTAAAAAACAACAAAACAAGAACAACAATAAAAACTTTAATTAAAAAAAAAAAAAAAATTCTGCACAGAAATACATACTATTTGCAAATTACTAACAACATAATAATATTTGTGCATTCCATTAATTACTTAAAATGGCATGCAGCTGTATGTTAACTAGCCTGTAAAGAAAGCATAATGTGGAGAAGTACAATACGCTTTTCATTCATTCTAGAGAAAAATAAATTAAATGTCAACAAGCGATTGTTAAGAAAACATTGGTTCTAGGTGTGTTTTTACTGTCTATAATTTATGAAGCTGAATAGAAACATGTAGCTGTCAGGAACATTTACATCAAATGAAGAGAGAAGAGTCCTTTCCCTGTTTTAAACAGTGTACATGCACATAATGGTAATGGCCTTGCAAGCAGAAAGCTGTAAAAAGCAGCAAGAATGGTACGTATTTTGGTGGAAAGTGTTTGAGAATTCCTGCCTTTTAAAGTTACATTAAAATTACTGAATAATATGTTCTCTTTAAAGAACAAGAAATGAGTCTCAGAATAACTGGCTGTGCAAATACTTCATATTTATGGGAGCCCAATCATTTGTTTAGAGAAAAAAATAAAACACGTTCTCTCTTGACTTCAAAGGGAGCAGATTAGGTGGTAGCTGTACCCTGAAATTTGCAGTTCATTTTCACAACTATATAGGTGTGGACTTCTCACAGGAATTTGAAGAGCCTTGCCCTGCTCTACACTGCCACCAGCTTTGTTTAGTGAAGTGTACATTCCTTAATGTGCCACAGTCACGGTTGTGTGACTGCAGAACTCCTCCCATACCGATTAGGACTACCTCCACCCCATGACTAAGGCCTGGAGCTGAAATAAGGCTTGAAGTATCTTTTGCTATGCTTTCTGATAATATTTGGAAGTACTTGTTTTTATCCCATTTTGTGTCCATTTCACTAAAAAGAGATATAACTCATATGTACTAAAATATTTTTAGGAACTAGTGAGCTTTCATTAAACAATAATTTGTTGTGAGTAGACCTGTGAAGACAAAAGGGATACAGGAATCCTTGTCTGAATGCAGCTGAAGAATCGTTTTAAAAAGTGAACTACAGTAACGTCTAATAGACTAGGACATATTTAACAGTTTCATTCCTTAAGGAAAAAAATTTACTCACATGTGTTACAATAACACTTTCTAAAACAAATAATAAATTAGTTGGTTTCTTGTGCAGGTAGTAACGTAATAGTGTTTAAACAAAACAGGTGCTTCCAAAAATTCCTTTATTTAAAAAGGATCATAAAAGCCTAAAGTATTACTAGTGATGTTCTCACTGGAAAATTCTGGCAGAAGCAGAATAGTCAAGTAGGAGTGTCTTACATGACGTTTCTACTGCCTAAAACACATTTGATATGGAAGACACTTGGCATTTGAAAACAATGAGTATTTACGTTTTATTTATATAGTAAATCAATTAAGAAAAAAATCATTTTATGAATTAATAAAATCACAGAAACAGCCCAACAACATGAATTATTTAAGTAAGTTGGAAGTAGACTGGAATAACATTCCTGCAGCCTTGTCCTTTCAGAATCAAATTTTCTTTTGAACTCAGAGGTAAATTGACGTAATGCACATATGCTGCCTTGAAATAGGCAATTTTAAAATTCAGTTTTAATTCACAGAAAAAAAAAAAAAAGAGAGATAATTCCCCCCTTATCTTGCAGACTTGCACTGTATTAAATAAAGCATGAAGATTTATGAACGTGCTTCATCTGCTACACTAATTATTTGAAATGGATAATTTGAAATTATAAATGCCTAAACAGTTGTAGGGTTGGGGCCTTTTAAACTGACATATAACAAAGGCACGCAATACATTTCTTTCAGAATCTGGTTTACTTTGTTTCCTTTAAGCCCATTAGATAGAAGTACTGAATTACGGTGTTCTCCAGTGCCGTCTTCACTTGTGTACTTTCAAACAAATACACTTGTAAAGCAAACTTTGATTAATCCAATATAGTGAATGTAACAGTTAAGCTTGAGAGCCAGGCTTGAAATCTGCCTTAAATATAGAGCATTGCTCAGGAAATTGTTAAGTCTTGGAGAGATTCAAGTAGCTTGGTGTAAGATATTATATCTTTGTGCAAATAATATCCATCCAGAATTGAAAGGGTGTGTTTGTATGTCACAGGACTTTCACATCTTGCTGTGTCCAAGTGTATGGCTGAATCCTGCATTCCATAGATGAGCAAGAATAGAGAAGGATTTTTGTCCAAGTACTGAGAAGTTCATAAAAGAAGTGAGTATGAAAAAAATACGGTGGATTCATTAGACGTAAGTGCTTCTATTATTCTGTGAATGTTTACTCAGTGTTACCTGTGTAGAGAAAAAGTCTCTCAGAGGAGGATACATTCCAAGCCTGTCCTTTGCAAACCCCGTTAAAATATCTCCAGTAAACCTGGAGGAGGGTGGGGAGCAACACCTTCCAGCGAAAGACCCTTCACCTTAACATCTGTAGTTGTCCCCACGCTCGTCTAAAATCGTTGTTTACAAAGCCACTCCGTTTCGCGAAGTCCGCCTGGAAATCCGTGGCCCCGGCGACGCTTTCGGCATTCGGTGTTTCAGTTCCTGCGACACAGTCTCTTTACGAACGCCGAGTCAGGGTAACAGTAACTCCATCGGTGTCCAGGTCTGCCGCGTCCCGCCCTGGGGCAGGGGGAGCTGCCGCCTCGCGGGCTCCTCGCACGGCTCCTTTCTACGTCTGCCTCCTGCGAGTTGGCATTTTGCGGTCACTTGCAGTCCTCCCCACCATCCGTAAGGAAAGCGAAAAAGAAACCCAAAACATGTGTATGTACATTATTATTAATATTATTTTCAACCGCCACTTCTTCGCAAATCGCTGGGTGCCTTCCTCTCAGCGCAGGCCTGAGCGCGAACTCCGGGTTCGTACCGCACACCGGCAGGGAAAGGAAAAGGAAACGAAGAGCCCCGGCGGCGGGCAGAGGGCTGGGGAAGGGGAGAGCCACGCACGCGGACGGCCGCGCCCGCCACCAGGCGCTGTTCGGCGGCTCTGGCAGGGAGCGGCGCGGAGCGGCGGCGGAAGCGGCGCCGGCTGAGCGAGCGGGCGAGGAGGCGGCGGCGAAGGGAAGGGGGAGGCTGTTGGTGTTTGGCGCCGGTGGAGGGAGTCATTCCTGCAGCTGCACTTCCGGTCGGCATTTTGTTCTGAGAGGGAGCGAGAGCGACGCGCACAGGATCCTTTCCCCCTCCTTCTCCTCCTCCTCCCCCCACCCCTCTGCTCGGTACCGGCTCGCCGTGCCTGGGCCGCCCCCTCCTCCGCCCTCCCGCGCTCGCTCACACGGAGGGAGCGGCGGCCCTTCGGCGGCTCTGTCCCCCCTCCGTCCCCCCCGCCCCCGACTTCCCCCCCCCCTCCCCCCCGCTCCCCCCGCTGTTCGGGCCGCGTCTCGGAACCGGTTCGGCCCGGCGCGGCCCGTGTCGATGTTGTGAAGCAGGCTCAGGGGGAAGGGATTCGTCCGTGCCGCTCACCCCCGGCTCTACATGTTCGCTGCACTGAGGAGGAGACGGAAGAGGAGCCAGCCCCCCTCCCGGCCCGGATTATTGTTGTTATATTATCTCCCCTCCTCCTCCTGCTCCGCGGCGGCGGCGGCGGCGGCCCAGCGGCGGCGGCGGCTCCTCTGAGGAGGGAGGGGGGCGGATTTTTCTCCCCCTCTCGGATTCTCGTTGGATTCAGACGCCGATTTGCTCAGGTAATCCCCCCTCCTTGTCTCCCCTTCCCCTCCCTGCCCTCTCCATCAGCCGGGCCGGGCCTCCGAGCCGGGGCGGCCCGGCGCTGCCGAGAGCGGAGGAGATTAGCTCTTATCCGGGGTCCGGGGGAGTAGGTGGCACAGGAGGTGTTTGTTTCGCGTCCCCCCCTTCTTGCTCGCTCGGGTTTGGCGGAGGAGATCGGCTCTTCCCAGGCTGCTGGGAGGCCTAGGCCTGGTGGAGAGCGCAGGCCCGCCGGCCAGCGCCTTTACTCCAGCTCGGGGATTAGAAAGGCGAAGCGGCTTCTCGGTGACAGGCCTCAGCCCAGAGAGGAGGAGGAGGAGGAAACAATACCATTAGCCGCAAATGTGCGCTGATCCTGTGCCATATTTACAACTTCGCCAAAGCGAGGGAGCCAGGTCCCGGTGCAGACAGCCCTCTGAACTGAGGAAGGAGTAAGTGGAGGGACAGGGGAAGAGAGACAATGTAAATATACGGAAACAGAAATATCTGTCTTCGCTGCTCTGATCTTCTAACAAACTCCATTCTCAAAGTTCGAATGGACGTGAATTTATAACCATTAAGGGTTTGATCTCTAAATAATAAAGCGATTGATTAGGGTGTTAATCAATTTGTGTATTTATAGCATAACTAGATCTTGTGGACAGATTGACACAATATGGACACCTGCAGACCTAGGAAAAACATAGGGAAGCGTATTGTGTTGGGTATTCCACAGAGTCTCAGTGCTGTAGGCACTATGGAAATATGTACTAAATTCAGGAGAAATACTATTTTGTGCTTTCTTAGAAGAAAATAATAATAATAATAATAATAATAATAATAATTGGGAAGGGCTTAAGAGTAAAGTGGTACATTTATGACACCTCATGGCCCAAGGTGAAGGTAAGATTTTACCTTAAGTTTGTGAGAAACAAACATGATTTTAATTAAGTGAAAAAGTGAAGAATGTTTTAAAAGTGCCATCCTTTCTTGTCAGGCCATATCACTTTGAGAACCTGAGGTTGTTATTGGCTGTTTGTGTCCATGGTGTTTGAATATGTAATTAGGTGTCACTTTAACAAGTCAAGTGTGTTTTGTAAATGACTGTTGATTAAGTGTCAGATCTTTATAAATAAATGGTATATAAATAAATAAATGGCGGCTAATTTTCAGTTAAATAAATTTTGCACTTTCTATATAGTATGGTTGAGAGTGTTATTATAAATTGAGGTAGATTTTAAAACAAACATCCTCCAAACTAATAAAAGTACTCCTTCAGAAATTACATAATTGGTGGAAAGTTTAAGATAATGAGTTTCACTTTTCATTTAGTTAGAAAATTAATAGATGACAAGCAACTAATACTTTCTAAATTTTCAAATAGTTTTTTGAGTTGCTTAGGCAGATCTGTTGTAATAGTAAGTGGTTATTGTATCTAATAAAGTAACTTTCTGGAGCATCGTGTTTAGAGTTGTAAAAAGTGTGCTATGATGGCTTTGAGTGCTCTGATACATGTTTAGAAGGGTGAAGTTAATATAGCTGTCACGTAGAAGGCGTGTTTTTAATGCTGTAAATCCGTGTAGTAGTCAGTAGCGTGTCCGTGATTTGTATTGGTCAGGGAGCAGTTTGAATTTTAAAAAGCCTGAAGATCCTGCTGAGCCCCAATCCCGGCCTCCCTCCCTCCCACTAATCTCCCATTCCTGTCTTTGTGCTGCCTGGTCCTGTTAGACGCTGTTTGCAACAGGGCCTCAGGCCTACGTGCCTGGAGAGGAACCATTTACTCTTCGAAAAATCAGCTTTTTATTTTTAAACTTCACGAATTGCAGAGGGAGCCGCTAGTTGTCTCTTAACTGTCTCTATCTCTGCGCGTAGCTGAATTGCTGTTTTCTTTTGGTCTGTAGCATGCGTAGGGGCCGAGTGCAACTTTGCTTCACAGGAAAGAAAGGACTCTGCAGAAGTGCTTGTAGTTCTTGGGTAGTTTTGATCATTAGGAAGTGACGTTAACCGAAACATTTATTTTGTTGTTTCAAACAACTCTTTCTTTAACAAAGAAATGTGCTTGCTGAGTTAACACGAGGAATTTATTTGACTGACTTTTAATTTAAGGGGGTTTGTTTTAAATATATGAGATATGGACAGGAAATGAGCTACTGTAGTTATGTAGTTCCTGTCAAGTTTATCTCTCCAGGGTTGTGTTTACAGCTTTTTTCTTTTTTTTTTTTTTTTTTTTCTTTTTTTAAATCAGCATGCTCTTCTCTGATATCAAAACTAGGCATAGTTATGGAGGGAACATTATAATGGTGCCTGCTTATGATGGTTTGTAATGAGTTTTTGTTCTTTTGAGCAATAGATGGCTAAATCTCATTTACCTGCTTTATTGCAGTTTATGTTGTAAATTTTAGGTAGAATTATTTAATGGAGAAATGTAAGAATGTAAGGTGACTTTTTTTTTTTTTAAGATTATGTTTATAACATATAGAATTGTGTATTTCACCTTCATACTTCATTTTCCATAGCATTAAGAGGTCTTTTGCTTTTCACAACAGCCTAAGGATTTAGTTATTTTATTAATGTTATGGTAGAAAATCAATTATTCTTGAGTTGTTAGTTTTAAAAATTATTTTAACTGAAAGAGGAGAAAGGAACACTTTTTTCTTCTGGCTGTCTTTTACTTTGTACTTTGGCTACCTTGTATGTTTTGAATTTTTCGCTTATGTACAAGTTCAATTTTTTCTTTTTGGGTGAACTTCTTAAATGCTTTATCTGAAGTTATTCCAACAAATAAATAAATATCCCTGAAGCTTTTGCTATCTTGTAAAGTTGATTTTGTGGTTTTTTTTTTTTTTTTAAGTCTGTGTGTACATATATATCTATATGTATGTATATTATATATATATATATTATAAAGACATAGAAACAGGCATGTGACACAAAAAAATCCAAACATTAATTTTCTACATTTGGAATGCTTATATTTTCATTTGGGAGAAAAATGAAGAATAAGCGGGGAAGCAAAATTATGCAGCTAAAACCATTTGCAGTTTTAAAGAAGGGTACGTGAATCTGGGTGCAACCTCATTACATATTTGGGAGTCCATTGACAATAGTGTTCCTCTTCTTGCAGAATCTACACAATATGTAGCAATGTCTTTGGGCTGGAACCATGTTTTTGTTATTTGTATGATGTTAGACATAATACAGCCTTAATCTCCAATGGTTCATGTATATATTTCTCTCTGTAATATAAGCAAACCATATTCTGGGGGATATTAAATGAAACAGTAGTGTAGGTTGATTTCAGCCAGAGATTGGTACAGTAAGTTTCCTAATGCAATTGTCTGTGCTTTCAGTAGTAAATGTACTTTTTTGTGTGTAGTACATTATGAAGTGCAAAAGTCATCCAATTTAATATAAATTAATATTGACTTCATAAATGTTAGACAAGTTTAGTGGACAACTGCTACTAACTAGAAAAAGAAATTAGGGTTCTTTTCTGAGTATGTAGACCTAAGAAAGAGATTGTTTTCAAATTCATAACTTTATGCTTTCTAGTTATTATTCTAAAAGAATTTATTGTATGTTCGTCAGTTTGTGTACATTTTGATAGCAATTATGAATGTATGTAATTGGAAAAATATAAGTCATTTTAACTTTAGAGTTTGGTGTTTGGTAGGCATGAGGTGTATCATCCAGTGTTAGAACAGCTATTTACAGTCGCAGATTGTTTTGTTAGAAATATTCAACATTCGAAAAGAAGGGCCATTCAGTATGATGCAACTTATTTTCAGTCTTCCTTTTCATATGCCCTCATTAGACGTAATACAAATTAGGTTAGCTTCTGATTTTCAATAATCAGTGGTATCAACCTATAAGGAAGTGCTTGAAATTGGTGGTACCTGTATTTTATTGGTAATAATCCTGTTTAAAGGTGATCATCTCTAATAGGAAAAGAAAATAATTCCTTTTGTCATATCATTGTTATAAAACCTTTTAATACAATTTATCTATATTTGTGCTTTTATTTCATTAGGGTTATAAACATATTTAGTAGATGTTCCTGACCTGCGAAGTACATGTGAGAGAGGTGCTTTATATTGCTGTCTGCTGCACCCCAGGAGTGAGGCAATAGTGTTAGAGGAGATTGTGCAGAAACTATGATTTGTGTCTCGCTTCCTGTCCCAACTGTTCACTGTGGAAAATTTCACAAACAACAGGGAGGAGAGAAAGAATGTTGGCCAAGCTGTATGTAGGAACTAAAAGGCAACTTAAATGTAGTTGTTGGTGCTGTTCTTGAAGGTGACTACATGGCTCATAGAAATAAAAAACATAAACATTGAAGAACATTTTTCATGTTAAAGTCTTTCAGTCAGACCAGATTCCAGAAGACTGTATTCTTACTAGCAGGGGGCTCATAGTAGTTCTTTATGTAATTAGATATTCCAATTTTTCAAATTATTGCTATGGTAGATATAAAGAACTTCTGTGGTGGTGATTTTTTTTTTTCTTTTTCTTTTTTGTCTTTTCAGCAGTGTGAGTGTGTAGACCTGTGATGCATTTTACAGGAAGTTTAAAACATTAGACTGTAAAGTCAGAGGCTCAGATAAGGAAACTGAAAAAGACTTAAGAAACAAGCATAAACTAGCCCCCTTCTCTGTACACTGGATCATCAACCATTATTGTATTTTCTCCTTACCAATTCAGTGCTTCGTACAATGCATGGGAAATGATAGCTGACCAGTATACTGTTATAACCTACTTTATATATTTGCTTGGCTTTGTTATGTAGCGTGCAGCCTCCTGACTTATTACCTGCTGTATTACATCCACATCTTTAATGAATGTTGAAGTGTTTTCATCTATTCATTTGTAGGAATTATCATAAAAATACATATGTGTATCACCAATGTTAGAGAAAAGTTCTTCGGTATATCCATAAGATATTACATTTTACAGACAGAAAACTGAAACTAAATCAAAATTGTGTTTTAAAAGTGCTTATAAA